GCCGTGGCGGAGTAAGGATTCTGGCCACCAAGATGTTCAAGGCAGCTCTGGCGCTCAAGAGGAGTCAAAGGACCCCTGCATTCATTTGTGAGATCCTCGACGCTTTGGTATTCAAGCAAATAGCAACGCAGTTGGGAGGCAATCTGCGCATAATAGCAGTGGGGGGATCGCCTTTGTGCGCCGAGACGCAAGTGCTGATGCGAGCCTTGTTCGGCTGCGTAATCCAAGTGGGCTACGGCGCCTCGGAGACGGCCGCGTGCATCACAGCTACCGACGGCAGGGACCTGCGGACGGGCCACTGTGGCGCGCCTTGCCACGGGGTCCAGCTGGGGCTGTTGGACTGGGACGAGTGCAGCTACCGCATCACGGACAAGCCATTTCCTCGGGGGGAGGTTATCGTGGCAGGCCCTTGCGTCTCGAAGGGTTACTTCAAAAGGCCTGAAGATACGCAGAGGGTGTTCATCGAGATCGACGGCCAGCACTTTTTCTGCACTGGCGACATCGCCCAGATTGACGACACGGGCGTGGTTCGCATCATCGACCGCAAGAAGGACATCGTCAAACTGAATGACGGTGAGTACATCGCGGTAGGACGAATCGAAATGAAGATGAAAACAAATCCATTTGTGGATAACATCTTCGTCTATGTGCGACCCGGCTCGAACAGGTGCATTTGCATTGTCGTTGCCAATGCAGGCCAGGTCATGAAACTCGGGCAAGAGCTGAACTTGGACTTGAGCTTCGAAGACCTCTGCCAAACCCCCGAGGTTGTGGCCAATGTGCTGCAGAGGTTGCAAGCCCATGGCCTGGAGCTCGGGCTTACGAAGCGGGAGCTCCCAGTGGCGCTCTATCTGACCCCCCTCGCCTTGGACGCCGGAGACGGGCCTGGTGGGCCCCGCGCTCAAAGATCAGGAGGAAAGTGGTCGAGGGCGCACTTCCGAGATCAGATCGACGCCATGTACAATAACGGGCCAGAGAAGACCAGGTAAAACTGATCGTATAATGATCCGGATCTAGTATCCGGTTCTTCGCATTCCAGTGCCACGAAAGTACACGCCAACATGCACACGAATCATTTAATTTGATTGCCTGATAATCACAAATAATTGATGAACCGGATTATATCACAATAGATAATAATCCTAATGCTAAAGAATCTTTGTTTAATAATATATAATAGGATACACCTCGCCCCCTGCCAAACCACAACCCCCCCTCCCAAATATATATATATAATATATATATTCACACACATACACACACACATATTTATATATATAAATTATAAATATGTGATGATAATTATATATATATATATATATATATATATATATATATATATATATATATATTTGTGTGTGTGTGATTACGTACGTGCCACGTGAGCCTTTATACCGCTGATAACCCTTCCTTGGCGCTCGTATCTAGATTTTTATGAGACGTGAATTTATTAATGGAAAAATAAAAATGATGCAAAGCTTTCAACGCTCGAGTTACCCTCTCGATATGAGTCGAGGACGACTTTTATAGGTTAATTTTCTCATCTTTATTGCAGTTATTGTGTTAATGGTATTGTAGTTACTGTTGACACTCGTGTTCCGTATGACCTGTTGGGGAGAGGAGGTTCCGAGGTCTGTCACTGAGGAGCGCCGGCCCGAGTCGGGCGGGCCACCGCCACCCCGGATCTTCGGCGTCCGCAACGAGAAGGGCTACTGGGTCCAGAATGACCCCGGCAGCACCGCCGCCCGCTTGAAGGACGACCTCCAGGCCGCCGGCGTGACGACGCTGCCGGCCATATTGGAGCACACCGCCAGGACGCTAAGAGACAAGCCGTGCATGGGCACGCGGGAGCTCTTGGCCCGACATCGCTTCGTGGAGAATGGTGTGGAGAAGGAAAAGCTGACCCTTGGGGAGTACTCTTTCTTGACACATGGTGAGTGCACGACACGGTGGTCAGTTTCAGCAAAGGCCTCACGAAGATTGACACGGGCAATAGTGGCAGAATCGCTCTATTCGCTGAGACGTGTGTCGAATGGATCATGGCGGCCATGGGTTGCCTGCGCCAAGGGTCGGTAGTCGTGACCGTGTACCCTACTCTAGCCCTCCAGGAGATCGTGCTGGCACTTTCTGAAGCTGAAGTTAGCGTGATCATAACGTCGCAAAGCCTCCTCGGAAGAACGGCGGAAGTTTTCCAGAACTACCCTGGCATCAAACACGTGATTGTGTTTGAAGATCAGCTGGTGGGTCTGGGGACAGTGCCCGAGGTTCTCAAGGGCGTGGCTGTGACCCCCTTCAAGGACGTGGTGGAGGCCGGAGAGTGCCTGAGCCTCTCCTTGCCCCAGCCGACTGGCAGCGATGTGGCAGTCATCATGTACACGAGTGGGTCGGTCAGCAGCCCGAAGGGCGTGCAGCTAACACACAATAATATACTGAGCTCAGTCGTGTCATACATCCCGATGATGGATTTCCGCCCCAATGAGCGCTTCCTGGCCTTCCTTCCCCTTTCCCACGTGATGGAATTCTGCTGCCTGATAGGACACGTTTGGCTGAACAACCTGATCCTGTTCGGGTCGCCGATGACCCTGACCAGCAGAAGCCCCAAAGTCATGGAGGGCTCCCTGGGCGACGTACAGGTGGCGAAGCCCACGTACATGAACGCTGTGCCTCTCATCCTCGACAGAGTGGTCATGGGCGTCAATCAGGCCGTGGCGGAAGAAGGGATTCCTGGCCACCAAGATGTTCAAGGCAGCTCTGGCGCTCAAGAGGAGTCAAAGGACCCCTGCATTCGTTTGTGAGATCCTCGACGCTTTGGTATTCAAGCAAATAGCAACGCAGTTGGGAGGCAATCTGCGCATAATAGCAGTGGGGGGATCGCCTTTGTGCGCCGAGACGCAAGTGCTGATGCGAGCCTTGTTCGGCTGCGTAATCCAAGTGGGCTACGGCGCCTCGGAGACGGCCGCGTGCATCACAGCTACCGACGGCAGGGACCTGCGGACGGGCCACTGTGGCGCGCCTTGCCACGGGGTCCAGCTGGGGCTGTTGGACTGGGACGAGTGCAGCTACCGCATCACGGACAAGCCATTTCCTCGGGGGGAGGTTATCGTGGCAGGCCCTTGCGTCTCGAAGGGTTACTTCAAAAGGCCTGAAGATACGCAGAGGGTGTTCATCGAGATCGACGGCCAGCACTTTTTCTGCACTGGCGACATCGCCCAGATTGACGACACGGGCGTGGTTCGCATCATCGACCGCAAGAAGGACATCGTCAAACTGAATGACGGTGAGTACATCGCGGTAGGACGAATCGAAATGAAGATGAAAACAAATCCATTGTGGATAACATCTTCGTCTATGTGCGACCCGGCTCGAACAGGTGCATTTGCATTGTCGTTGCCAATGCAGGCCAGGTCATGAAACTCGGGCAAGAGCTGAACTTGGACTTGAGCTTCGAAGACCTCTGCCAAACCCCCGAGGTTGTGGCCAATGTGCTGCAGAGGTTGCAAGCCCATGGCCTGGAGCTCGGGCTTACGAAGCGGGAGCCCAGTGGCGCTCTATCTGACCCCCTCGCCTTGGACGCCGGAGACGGGCCTGGTGGGCCCCGCGCTCAAGATCAGGAGGAAAGTGGTCGAGGCGCACTTCCGAGATCAGATCGACGCCATGTACAATAACGGGCCAGAGAAGACCAGGTAAAACTGATCGTATAATGATCCGGATCTAGTATCCGGTTCTTCGCATTCCAGTGCCACGAAAGTACACGCCAACATGCACACGAATCATTTAATTTGATTGCCTGATAATCACAATAATTGATGAACCGGATTATATCACAATAGATAATAATCCTAATGCTAAAGAATCTTTTGTTTAATAATATATAATAGGATACACCTCGCCCCCTGCCAAACCACAACCCCCCCTCCCAAATATATATATATATATATATATATATATATTCACACACATACACACACACACATATTTATATATATAAATTATAAATATGTGATGATAATTATATATATATATATATATATATATATATATATATATATTTGTGTGTGTGTGTGATTACGTACGTGCCACGTGAGCCTTATACCGCTGATAACCCTTCCTTGGCGCTCGTATCTAGATTTTTATGAGACGTGAATTTATTAATGGAAAAAATAAAAATGATGCAAAGCTTTCAACGCTCGAGTTACCCTCTCGATATGAGTCGAGGACGACTTTTATAGGTTAATTTTCTCATCTTTATTGCAGTTATTGTGTTAATGGTATTGTAGTTACTGTTGACACTCGTGTTCCGTATGACCTGTTGGGGAGAGGAGGTTCCGAGGTCTGTCACTGAGGAGCGCCGGCCCGAGTCGGGCGGGCCACCGCCACCCCGGATCTTCGGCGTCCGCAACGAGAAGGGCTACTGGGTCCAGAATGACCCCGGCAGCACCGCCGCCCGCTTGAAGGACGACCTCCAGGCCGCCGGCGTGACGACGCTGCCGGCCATATTGGAGCACACCGCCAGGACGCTAAGAGACAAGCCGTGCATGGGCACGCGGGAGCTCTTGGCCCGACATCGCTTCGTGGAGAATGGTGTGGAGAAGGAAAAGCTGACCCTTGGGGAGTACTCTTTCTTGACACATGGTGAGGTGCACGACACGGTGGTCAGTTTCAGCAAAGGCCTCACGAAGATTGACACGGGCAATAGTGGCAGAATCGCTCTATTCGCTGAGACGTGTGTCGAATGGATCATGGCGGCCATGGGTTGCCTGCGCAAGGGTCGGTAGTCGTGACCGTGTACCCTACTCTAGCCCTCCAGGAGATCGTGCTGGCACTTTCTGAAGCTGAAGTTAGCGTGATCATAACGTCGCAAAGCCTCCTCGGAAGAACGGCGGAAGTTTTCCAGAACTACCCTGGCATCAAACACGTGATTGTGTTTGAAGATCAGCTGGTGGGTCTGGGGACAGTGCCCGAGGTTCTCAAGGGCGTGGCTGTGACCCCCTTCAAGGACGTGGTGGAGGCCGGAGAGTGCCTGAGCCTCTCCTTGCCCCAGCCGACTGGCAGCGATGTGGCAGTCATCATGTACACGAGTGGGTCGGTCAGCAGCCCGAAGGGCGTGCAGCTAACACACAATAATATACTGAGCTCAGTCGTGTCATACATCCCGATGATGGATTTCCGCCCCAATGAGCGCTTCCTGGCCTTCCTTCCCCTTTCCCACGTGATGGAATTCTGCTGCCTGATAGGACACGTTTGGCTGAACAACCTGATCCTGTTCGGGTCGCCGATGACCCTGACCAGCAGAAGCCCCAAAGTCATGGAGGGCTCCCTGGGCGACGTACAGGTGGCGAAGCCCACGTACATGAACGCTGTGCTCTCATCCTCGACAGAGTGGTCATGGGCGTCAATCAGGCCGTGGCGGAGAAGGGATTCCTGGCCACCAAGATGTTCAAGGCAGCTCTGGCGCTCAAGAGGAGTCAAAGGACCCCTGCATTCGTTTGTGAGATCCTCGACGCTTTGGTATTCAAGCAAATAGCAACGCAGTTGGGAGGCAATCTGCGCATAATAGCAGTGGGGGGATCGCCTTTGTGCGCCGAGACGCAAGTGCTGATGCGAGCCTTGTTCGGCTGCGTAATCCAAGTGGGCTACGGCGCCTCGGAGACGGCCGCGTGCATCACAGCTACCGACGGCAGGGACCTGCGACGGGCCACTGTGGCGCGCCTTGCCACGGGGTCCAGCTGGGGCTGTTGGACTGGGACGAGTGCAGCTACCGCATCACGGACAAGCCATTTCCTCGGGGGGAGGTTATCGTGGCAGGCCCTTGCGTCTCGAAGGGTTACTTCAAAAGGCCTGAAGATACGCAGAGGGTGTTCATCGAGATCGACGGCCAGCACTTTTTCTGCACTGGCGACATCGCCCAGATTGACGACACGGGCGTGGTTCGCATCATCGACCGCAAGAAGGACATCGTCAAACTGAATGACGGTGAGTACATCGCGGTAGGACGAATCGAAATGAAGATGAAAACAAATCCATTTGTGGATAACATCTTCGTCTATGTGCGACCCGGCTCGAACAGGTGCATTTGCATTGTCGTTGCCAATGCAGGCCAGGTCATGAAACTCGGGCAAGAGCTGAACTTGGACTTGAGCTTCGAAGACCTCTGCCAAACCCCCGAGGTTGTGGCCAATGCTGCAGAGGTTGCAAGCCCATGGCCTGGAGCTCGGGCTTACGAAGCGGGAGCTCCCAGTGGCGCTCTATCTGACCCCCTCGCCTTGGACGCCGGAGACGGGCCTGGTGGGCCCCGCGCTCAAGATCAGGAGGAAAGTGGTCGAGGCGCACTTCCGAGATCAGATCGACGCCATGTACAATAACGGGCCAGAGAAGACCAGGTAAAACTGATCGTATAATGATCCGGATCTAGTATCCGGTTCTTCGCATTCCAGTGCCACGAAAGTACACGCCAACATGCACACGAATCATTTAATTTGATTGCCTGATAATCACAATAATTGATGAACCGGATTATATCACAATAGATAATAATCCTAATGCTAAAGAATCTTTTGTTTAATAATATATAATAGGATACACCTCGCCCCCTGCCAAACCACAACCCCCCCTCCCAAATATATATATATATATATATATTCACACATACACACACACACATATTTATATATATAAATTATAAATATGATGATAATTATATATATATATATATATATATATATATATATATATATATTTTGTGTGTGTGTGATTACGTACGTGCCACGTGAGCCTTATACCGCTGATAACCCTTCCTTGGCGCTCGTATCTAGATTTTTATGAGACGTGAATTTATTAATGGAAAAAAATAAAAATGATGCAAAGCTTTCAACGCTCGAGTTACCCTCTCGATATGAGTCGAGGACGACTTTTATAGGTTAATTTTCTCATCTTTATTGCAGTTATTGTGTTAATGGTATTGTAGTTACTGTTGACACTCGTGTTCCGTATGACCTGTTGGGGAGAGGAGGTTCCGAGGTCTGTCACTGAGGAGCGCCGGCCCGAGTCGGGCGGGCCACCGCCACCCCCGGATCTTCGGCGTCCGCAACGAGAAGGGCTACTGGGTCCAGAATGACCCGGCAGCACCGCCGCCCGCTTGAAGGACGACCTCCAGGCCGCCGGCGGCGTGACGACGCTGCCGGCCATATTGGAGCACACCGCCAGGACGCTAAGAGACAAGCCGTGCATGGGCACGCGGGAGCTCTTGGCCCGACATCGCTTCGTGTGTGTGGAGAAGGAAAAGCTGACCCTTGGGGAGTACTCTTTCTTGACACATGGTGAGGTGCACGACACGGTGGTCAGTTTCAGCAAAGGCCTCACGAAGATTGACACGGGCAATAGTGGCAGAATCGCTCTATTCGCTGAGACGTGTGTCGAATGGATCATGGCGGCCATGGGTTGCCTGCGCCAAGGGTCGGTAGTCGTGACCGTGTACCCTACTCTAGCCCTCCAGGAGATCGTGCTGGCACTTTCTGAAGCTGAAGTTAGCGTGATCATAACGTCGCAAAGCCTCCTCGGAAGAACGGCGGAAGTTTTCCAGAACTACCCTGGCATCAAACACGTGATTGTGTTTGAAGATCAGCTGGTGGGTCTGGGGACAGTGCCCGAGGTTCTCAAGGGCGTGGCTGTGACCCCCTTCAAGGACGTGGTGGAGGCCGGAGAGTGCCTGAGCCTCTCCTTGCCCCAGCCGACTGGCAGCGATGTGGCAGTCATCATGTACACGAGTGGGTCGGTCAGCAGCCCGAAGGGCGTGCAGCTAACACACAATAATATAC